AGTTACATAGTTAGTCTGGCTGAAAAAAGACAAAAGTTCATCCAGTTCAACCATAAAAAAAAAAAAGTTATAATCCTATACCGACAGTTGATCCAGAGGAAAGCAAAATGCATGTATGCAAGATCAATTTGATATTATTTTACCAATACTTGCCAATGTTTAAAAACCATTTTTCTATGTATAGTGTGTCAGTGAATATGTCCATGGGGGAAGCCACATTTGAAGTGGTAATGAACTCTGTATTGTGATTTTTATCTACCTGTAAACTTATAATAAAGCTTAAATGGATATCTCCTAAACGTGTCCAGTTTAGGAGATATTCACTTGTTTGGCAACCAATGTTGTCACTGGCGCATGCGCCTTGAAGAAACGGCATACCCATGCTATTACTTCAGAGCTCTGTGCTGCAGCCATGACTCCCATGTGCATGAGCAGGAGTGATGTAACCACTGCTCAGCCATTTAAGCCTGGAAGGAATATGGGTGAAGATGGGAGCCTCTGCAGCAGTGACAGCGTGCCACTGGAGGACACAGTTTCAAAGTAAGTCTTTCATAATGCAGTAGTATGTGATGCACACTAGCACATTATGCCTTTACTTTCCAGGAAGAAAGTTTTTTATTTTTAGTTTCAAAGTTTACTAATGATTGCATATGCAGTCTCTGATTCTTTGCAGTGCTACACGATGGTTGTACTTTACTGCTGCATTGTTGTGAGTTGGCCAATTCACTGAAAACATTGCACTTACCATGTGGCTGATTTCCTATTTTCCTATACCAGGCTATATAGAGGCATATATAGGTCTCCTTCTATCTCCATATTTCATATTATGGCAAAATACAGAAAAGCAAGCATATCAAAATATGAAAATCACAGCAGAAATTACGATACTGTAATTAGAACTCAAAATGTTTACTCATTGAAAATACACAATACTTTACCTTGTGAGGCAAAGGACCGTTACCTACAAGAAGAGGTAGCATGCTCACCTCTTTGGCAGCCTGGGACTCCCTCCTCCCCACCATTTCGGTGCTGCAGCCTTCGCCCATTTTGGGGGGTTTTGGATGCTCGTGATCCCTGCTGCACACTGGCTGCTTCTTCCGATCCCTACGTTACTTGAGGACTCTCAGTGAAATGAGGTTCAAGTGATACAGGCAACCAACATTCCCAGAAGTGCTGGATAATGAGAATATTACCTCTTACCTTACAGAGAACTGCTCTTTTGATTTGTTTAGAAACTTGTTGGGGTCTCTATAACACATCTAATAGCAGAAGTTGATGTGATGGTTCTACTAATAGTGCATACTAACCATATAACACAAAGGGCACTACAGTGGTGTGACACTTCGTAATCAATCATATATAAGTCTAGCAGTTTAATCTGGTTGATTAAATGAAAACTGATGTGAGACCAGTTTCTATAGGTTACTCTACAGCACAGGTGTCAAACTGGCGGCTCTCCAGCTGTTGCCAAACTACAAGTCCCATGAGGCATTGCAAGATTGACAGTTACAAGCATGACTCCCAAAGGTAGAAGCATAATGGGATTTGAAGTTTTGCAACAGCTAGAGGGCCGCCAGTTTGACACCCCTGTTCTACACCACTGATCTTCACATTACTTTTCTTAATCAATAAATTCCTGTGGGGCTTTCCTAACTCTCTCTTTGTAGCAATCTGCATCCCATAGCTTATTTACATACCATCTAAAGGATGGTTCATGTAAGAATTCAATTGGTTCCAATTTTAATGTTATTGGGTTTAGTTTGACAGAGCAATACCTGATGTAAACATACAACATATAAAGGAAATATATTCATCCAATCTGTCTTTATCTCACTATATATATACACATATACATACATACATACATACATACACACACACACATACATATATACACACACACACATACATACATACATACATACATACACACAAACATATACTGTATCCATAGCTTTAGAAATAAATATAGTTGTGGGTAAGACTGACATTAAAGAAGATTTCCAGTGATGGATATTTTACATAGGACCAGCTTGGACTAAAGTACCTATGTATATGCCATATTTGTGGGATCCTTCTAGAAGCTGGAAATCACTGAAGTAGGAATCCCTACATCCCTACTCCAGTGATCTCCACTAGCTTCTGGGTCCTGTGCTGAGAGACTGTCCTGCTGTATTGTGAACACAGGAGACCGGTTGCTTGGCACAAACACCATTCAGAGATCGCATTGCATTTTCTCAGTGAATGCAAAGCGTTCTTGGGAGAGGCTGGGGAGTGACGTCACATTCTCCACCTCGTCCAGTCAGAGAATGCTTTGCATTAATTGAGATTGATAATTGATATATGTGTCATTACACTGCTCCAAGCTGAACTGTTACTACATAAAAATGTCCATACCTGGAATTCTTCTTTAAAGAGAAATTCCATATATGGATATTTTATACTTAGTTACATTGGGTCAGCTTGCATCAATGTAACTATGTATATACCATACCTGGCTGATGCCCCTGAAGCTGGAAATCATGGGAGAAGACACCATTACTCCAGTGATCTCCATTTGCTTACATGCATTGTGAACACAGGAGGTCGGCTGCTCGGCACAGGCACCATTCAGAAAATCCCTTGCATTTTCTGAATGAATGCAAAGCATTCTTTGATTGGACGAGGTGGAGAGTTTGAGGCTACTGCCCCACCTTGTTCAATCAGAGAATGCTTTGCATTCACTGGCAAATTGCAAAGCATTCTCTGAATGGTAGCTGAGCCAAGCAGCTAACCTCCTGTGTTCACAATGCAGCAGGGCAGACATTAATCAAGGAAGCAAGTGGAGATCACTGGAGTAGGGGTGCCTACTACAGTGATTTCCAGCTTTTAAAAGGATCCCAAAGGTATGGTATATCCATAGTTACATTGGTCCAAGTGCAGCCAATGTAACTATGTAAAAATATCCATATCTGGAATTCTTCTTTAAGAAGCTGAAAATATTTTTATATAAAATCACCTAACATGCTGGTTTAGGTACATTTTAGAAGCAGTTTAGGGCTATTTCTTTCAAAGAAGGCCTTGTACTCACAAGCAATATTAGAGGTGGCCACTTCTGTCTGCTGACAGTTGTATTTACCGGTTTCTGAGCATGGATTGCACTTGTTTTATCATATCTGCACTTTTTCAAATGAACTTTTCCTGCACAAAACTCAGGTACTTATTTACCCTACATGTTATATGTGTCCAAGGCTCACCAAACAGCCACTCAGCACTCACAGCTGCATTTACCAGACAGATTAAATGTCTTTATGAAGAAATATATGCACTCTGCATTCAAGAAAAAGTGAACGCAGTTTAATTTAGAAAGAGCAGCATTTATTAAAGCTGAACTCCGGGCAAAAAACTTCCATTCAAATATATTCTTTAAAGGAACATTAAAAGCAAAAATAAAAAAAAAGAAATAAAATAAAAAAGAGGTAACACTTACCTTCTTTGTGCAATGATATTGCACAGAAACATCACTCTCCTCCTCTTCTCTCAGTCCTTGCTGGCACTATAGGCCTCCCCCCTCTTTTGGGTGCCTCCTGTACCAACCCCGGTGCTAAGGAGTCACCTGTGTGCGAGCGCTCCTGTTGGGTCCCGTGAAAAGCTGTGTGCGTCCATAGACACACACAGCATTGGTAAGCCATGCCACCACTCCCTCCCCACAGGAGTTTGACTGACAGCAGCAGGAGCCTATGGCTCTGCTGCTGTCATTTTTCCTGCAAAACCATAAAGTGAGGGATGCTGGAGCCCAGAACAACTCTGGAGAGGGAACATGGAGCCAGGTAAGTGTTTAGGAATGGTGGAAGAAGGGAAGGGGAGAATTAACAGGACAGGTAGTGGCTGTTTTTTACCTTAATACAGAGAATGCATTAAGATAAGAAATGTTTAGAGTTTAGTACTTCGTTAATAGCCACAAAGGATAAAAACTCACTTTATGTGCCCAAAATAGCTTTGCAAACCCAACTAGTACCTTGTAAAAGTAGGTGACATCATCACACTGCTGTACATGGACTGTGTGAGGGTGGAGTCCAGGCTGGCTCCAGAAAACTACAGGAGGAGGTGGATACAAGACCAGTCACCCTGCACAGGGAGAGAGAGGGCAGCAATGACTGGTCTTTATTTCTGGAAACTCCTGCATAGTTATTTCCTACTGGAATACTGCACAGATCTGGAGGAAATAAACAATAAAAGTCTAAAATTCATGAAAGTATACACATGCCGCCTGTATTTAGGCAAAACTGGTTTAGCCTGGATTTCAGCTTTAATCTTCTGGGAGATGAGAGTTGACTTTATGGAATATACATCTAAATATATAAAATTAAAAAAGGCTTTCTTTTACAGTATTAAATTGTTTCCCTTCTAATATAAAGGTTTGGTCCTCAATGCATTGTAGCCATATGGACTAGGATGAAAGCATTTGACCTCAGCAGGCACTGAATATTCTCCATATATATGCTGATACTGGCAATAGACCTGCCAATGAAGTACCAAACGCCAGTAAAGGGCCACATGTACAGCTATTCAGAATCCATGAACCATATCTTTCTATGTGCTGCCTTGGGTACCTTTTAAATATTTCCTATTTTTCTATCATCTCCCTGCCTATCATAATCAGTTAGTTCATCATACGTAAACCAAACTCCAAAAGAAGTCATATTACACATAAACCACAGAGAATGCCGTTTGTTAGTCTTAAATATGGCTTAATATTAACGAAAGCTTCCTCTGTTAATTTCTTTTAGCAGTGATAACACAGGAAGATGCATTTTTGCTTAACCAGTAGTAATTCAAGAGGCTGTATTGTAAAGCTGTAAAAGAATCCATTGTTTGGTAGACCCCTAGAATTAGATTTCTTAGTTTATCTGGGATTCATTGCTGCAGCAAGAGGACCCTGGGTGGATCCTCGTGTACAGGTGACGTGGTGTTTCTAGGACTGAGGTTCAAACTCAGAATGAGGGTGAGGAGGTGCTTGCCTATTTCAGCAGGGAGATATCGTCAGCAAAATCATCTTGTGATTGTCTTAGGCAGCGAAAACAACGCCACTGGAAGAGCATTAGACAAAGGGGCAGCATAAACAGGGCACACACGCCGGCCATCACATAGGCCGTAGTCATCAAAGCAGACTCATCCAGCTGTGGAGTGTTATAGCCGCAGTCTTCTAAGTTAGAGGCATAGAATGGACCGTCCACAGAAGCCTTGCGAGAAAAGTCATGCACTGTAAGAGATATGACAAAAGATGGGTGTGATTTCATTTAATTTCCTAGCAAAGTGGTTGTACACCTCAGACATGAAATATGAACAAATCATATCCCTCTATAGTGTGTACTTGTCTCAATTAAAAGCAGTAAGTGTCATCTCTGTCTGCTGCTTCGTTCCTCTGCTATCAGCATGAATCACTTCTGAAAAGTTTTCCTGACACCAAGAGAAAAATGGTGACATGGGAGGGACTTCCAGAAGATTGACAGCCATAATTCTGTTCCTGTGAGCTGTGTGACGGGGGTGTGTGTCCCTTCCCTCCAATCAGTTCACAGAGCTCTCCTCACTGACCTCTGCAGAGTGTAATTTCTGTCCTACTCCCTCTTTTTTCTGAACTCTCAGACTCGCTTTATAAATTCAGTACTTTGAACAGATGTAGACAAAAAAATACTGCAGATAGACAGATACAACGTATGTAGAATGATTTGTTTAATCTGTGTATTAGTAAAAGATTGTTTAGAAAAGCGCCACACCCTTAATTAATATAGCAGCAATTCCAAAACCCCAAAATTATTAAATAATCTTGGTCAAAAATGCATTTAACTATAGGAATGCACTAGAAACAACAAAACTTCAATAAACTGTGCATAAATCAATATAAGATCAAATAAAATATTTCACATATAAATAATTAAATAGATCATAAAGTGTTCAAATAATCAATCTATGAAAGTCCAAATTCCCACAATACAAATTTACAGCCACCATGTGCACTCCACCACCAAATAAAGTTGGGTGAATCACCAGAGCTATATGCTGATCAAATCATAGACCAGCATAAGTGCTATTGCTCTGGGAGCGATGGATATTCCAATTCCGGATATAGGATGCAATATTCTGCAGTATTAAATCCCTTAGGATGAAAAGTGCCGCTCTGTGTTAAAGATTGATTCCAGATAAACATGAAACAACTCTCCACAACCTCTCTCTCTCCTAGAGGGATATACGGTTCTCCATAGGCATTGGGACCATGTTCAAAGGCAAAGAGAAAGGAATAATAGTGCAGGGATTTAATACTGCAGAATATTGCATCCTATATCCGGAATTGGAATATCCATCGCTCCCAGAGCAATAGTGCTTATGCTGGTCTATGATTTGATCAGCATATAGCTCTGGTGAGTCACCCAACTTTATTTGGTGGTGGAGTGCACATGGTGGCTGTAAATTTGTACTGTGGGACTTTGGACTTTCACAGATTGATTATTTGAACACTATATGATCTATTTAATTATTTATATGTGAAATGTTTTATTTGATCTTATATTGATTTATGCACAGTTTATTGAAGTTTTGTTGTTTCTAGCGCATTCCTATAGTTAAATGCATTAATCTGTGTATTACCTGAAGCCAGTCTCTGAAGAGGTGAACTTCAGATAAAACACTGAATTCTATGGCTTACTAATTCCAGGTTTAGTATATTTTTACAGAGTTATCCTGGTCCACCTTTTATATACCATACCAGGCCAGTGCCCCTGGAAGCTGGAAATCACTACTGGGCATCACTACTGCAGTGATCTCCACTTGCTTTCAGGTTTCGTTCTGAGCAGCTGGCCTACTGCATTCTGAACCCAGAAGGTCAGCTGCTCGGCATGGGCACCATTCAGAGAGTGCTTTTCATTTTCTAAATGAATGCAAAGCATTCTCTGATTGGACGAGGTTGAGAGCACGATGTCACCATCCCGCCTCTCCACGTCATTCAAACAGAAAATGCTTTGCATACAATCAGAAAGTGCAAACCATTCTCTGAATAATGCCTATGCTAAGTGGCTGACCTTCTGTGTTCACAATTCAGTCAGACGCTCAACACGGTACCCAGAAACATGTGGAAATCACTGGAGTAGCGGAGTCTACTCCAGTGATTTCCAACTTCCAGGGGCATTGGCCAGGTATAGTATATACATAGTTACATTGGACCCAGCTGTACCAATGTGACTTTGATAGGTACCGGTGAACACTGACAGCTAAAGTCCCCACTAATGACAGAGAATGAGTAAGAGTGGCTCTCAATCATGTGATCACTTTGTCAATTACATCACATGCAAGCTGAAGACTTTCAGAAAAAATGGTTTGAATTTTCAGAGGCCTGTAGATTGCAGCTTAGTGTAATTGTCTGATACAATAACAGTATTAAAAAGTAAAAAATTAATTACTGTTAAATATATATGTATATTTTAGAGAATACATTTGGCCTGGGAATATAGGTTGCAATGATTATGATTTAAGGAGTGAGTCATTCCAAGGCAGCAGTAAAGTTCTGCCATTCTCAATACAGTTTTTGAATATGTCACATTGATTGTGCAGACATGACCAACAACTGCACATTTAGAATGAAAATTTCTGTATTTTTTCGAATATATGTAGTTCCTGAATTGTAAGCATAACTTAATGGTCATAATGTATTTTTTTTTAAATAAATACTTCAATCAGGAAAATTGCATCATGGCGAGGTGAGAAAATATGGAGATTTGTGTTGCCTGAATGTTTGTCACATTCGCACAATGAATGTTTTATGCAAAGACTCCTTCACATTTCCAGAAATGTATTAATTTCTTTCAGAGCTTGTACATACGCCTTACTCAAGTCTGGCATTGAACTGCTACTTACTGTCAGTTAAAAGTCACAAATACAAAATAAGTAATTTGACTGTTACATCTGCTTTATTCTACTTTTGTATATGCATCAGGTCTGCTTTAATGTATTAAATTAGCTCTCACCATGGCATGTGCTGACAGCAAAGCCAATCCGTTTCTGTGCACGATCAAAAATAACATAGAAGCCTTCCATGATGACCGCACCCATTACTGTGCCAGTAGAAGACTGAGACACTGCAAATTTATAACAGTCATCCTGAGATGTGGCTATGTCCTCCACAGGGCGCAGGTATTGCTGCAAGAAGGGTAGAAAACACCATTAGATCTGTGTATTGGTGAGTCTCTACTAAGGAGACAGAAACAAAAAGTGTAGGAAATACTGTGAGAAAAATCCATCACATTTTATTAAAGTTTGGAGAAAGGGCATTTAAAAAAAGCAAGCTAGACAATACAAATCAATAACAGCCCAGATAAGTTGATGCCAGGGGACAAGATGGCAAATGCTACCTGCGGCAAGATGGTGATGCGGAAAGATTCATTGGCAGCTTCACCCATTAGATAAAGGGATATCACGGGAAATATGTTCCATGGTGTAGTACCCTCCTGCCAGCAAACTAACTGTTCCCCCATCCAGAATCCATCAGGGAATTTCTCTGTCTACAAAAAGAACCACATTGAGAAGATTTGAAAATTAGTCATTTGTAGTATCCATGTTAATAATAAATTAAAGTATAACTAAAGACTAAATCGTTTTTTGTTTTGGACAATGTGGAGTTGGAGTAGAATACCTGTCAGATTTGCCCGTTAGGGAGATTTACCCTCTCTATTTGTCATGTTTACTAATATCATCAAAAGTGAAAGTAAATGAAAATCTCAAATTTTGGGTTGTCCCCAGAGCAGTAATAGAGGGGAAATCTTCCAATGGGGACACTATTTCTGGTGATCCTGGGTGGCCCCTAGATTTGCCACCTCATCCCTTTAAAACTGAATACATTAATGACACAGGTTCTGTGGCTTATTAAGGTGGTAATTAAACCTGTGTTATTAATATGTGTTTAGTTTTAAAGGGAACAAGGTGGCAACCCTAGTGGCCATAATGCATTTCCTTAATTTACGGGGATTTCCTCTCACTTCCTGTTTAGTTATATGTCAGGAAGTAAAGGTAAATCTCCCCAATAGGACACAGATGGCAATAACACTGACAGGGGTTATACAGGTTGTCCCTGAAATCTGGACACATAGGCAAATATCACTATATATGTGTGTGTGTGTATGTGAATATATATATATATATATATATATATATATATATATATATATATCCTGGCAGTACTAGGGTCGTTGGTTTGAATTCCAACCACGGCACCACCTGCCTGGAGTTTGCATGTTCTCCCTGTGCCTGTGTGGGTTTCCTCCGGGTACTCCAGATTCCTCCTACACTGCAAAGACATGCTGGTAGGTTAATTGGATCCTGTCTAAATTGGCCCTAGTATGTGTATGTATGAGTATAAGTTAGGGACCTTAGATTGTACACCCCTTGAGGGTTAGGGACTGATGTGAATGTACAATATACTGTATATGTAAAGCGCTGCATACATTTATTGCACTATATAAGTACCTGTAATAAATAAAATTAATATATGTGTGTATAATATATCACTATATAAGCTCACCAAACCGTAACCCCCCTTGCTAAAGGAGAAGGTGTACTCAATGAAAATCACAGATATGAATCACCTGAAGGAACGCATCATGAATGAATGTGCTCAAATTGACAGCACAGTGATGTTACTGTATTTGCATCACAAAATGGTGGAAATCACATAGAAGATGTTATTGGTTAATATTCCAATGAAATAAAATGTTATTGAAAAAATAATTTTGCCTATGTGTCCAGCCCGTTAGGGACTCCCTGTATATTGAGTAGGCTTTATTATAATAACATTTCCAAAATTACAATTGAATTAATATCCAATCCCCTTATAGCATAATCTCCACCTTCACCCCTGAAGATGTAAATAATAATGAATATGCCAAAAATAACCAATAAATAAATAAATTTCACCTAGCCAAAAATATCAAAGTGAAAAATAAAGTCCAAAATTTAAATTCAAATTAGAGAAAAAAAGCACACAAATATCCCTCCTGTGTGATACAGGTGATACAAAAAGTCCAAATTAATTGAGCCTCCCCAACGACTTCCACAACAAGTGTTACCTCAAAAGAAAAAGAAATAATACATAGTGCATTATCATTTATATAATAATCTATTGTGAATGGGTCCTAACAGTGAATCAGCATGATTTTATGAAGGACAGGGCATGCCTAAAATGAGGATTACTTTACTAAAGTTTTATGGTCAATATTTATCATAATGACCACTATTTCAGAAATGAGATCTAGTCACATGGATCAAAGTAATGATCCTTATGTCAAAAAACACAACAAACTGAACTAAGCCTATGCTTCGTTTTTATAAGGGCATAAATTCAAATCTGGATTTTGAATGCTATAATTTGATACATTTATTTTGTTATAGCATTTGATACTGTTCTATTTAGCCTGGTGGAGAAGTTTGGGATGCAATGATTCGGACTAGTGGTGCACCAAAATAAAAATTCTTGAACGGAAACCGAAAATTCAGGATGCATTTGGCTGAAAAATGAAACTGAAGCAGTTTTTTTATATATTATATAATTGTATTATATTCAACTTTTTAATTAATACCATGAATTTAGATGAATATGAATTTATTTTCAGTAGCTTTTCAGTCAATTGGCTGCTTTCACACTGAGCAGTTTTTGTAGCGCGTTTGCATAAAAAAAAGGCACAAGAAAAATGCATCCCTTTTAATTCTATGTATGTCCTCACACTGGTCCATTGCGCTTCCCTTGCAGTGTTAAAATCTTGCATTTTTGGTGCATATTTGACGAGAGAAAAAAAAAAAAAAAAAGCACCAAAAACGTACCTCCCAATTGAGGCCTGGTTCACACCAATGCGTTTCTGAGCTGCTGAATTTTTGGAAAGGGTCAGGGACTTCTTTAAACGCAAAACAATGTGTTTTTTGGTTCAGCAGACTTCAATGGAGATGCTGCATTCTTGATACGTTTTCACACGTTTTGAATCTGCTCAGCAACACAACACAAACAAAACACAAAATGCATTTAAAAATGCACGTGCTAAAATACAAAATGCATTGAAATCCGGACAAAGCGCAAACTGAACTGTTGTGAACCAGGCCAGAAATGCATTGAAAACTCATAAAAAACACAAAAAATTGCACACGCGTTAAATTTTTGATGCGTTTTGTATTTTTTGAATGGTTTTGTTTTGTTGTTGCTGGGCAAATTAAAAACACATCAAAAATGCACTGCAAAGAGCGGCAAAACAGAAAAAAACGCAAATGGAATTGGTGTGAACCAGGCCTGAAATGCATTAAAAAAAAATAAAAAAATGCATTAAAAAACACACACGTGCTGCGTTTTTTATTTGCTAAGCAACAAGTTGGCCAAAAAACGCATCAAAAAGGCAAAACACACTGCAAAAAGCACTGCTAAATGGACAAAACACAAACTGCATTGCTGTGAAACAGGCCTGAAATGCATTGAAAACGAATTGAAAGTGCATCAAAAATGCACGTGTTGCATTTTGCATGCATTTTTAATGTGCCCAGCAAGAAGTTGGCAAAAAAAATGTAAAAAGTGCAAAATGCACTGCAAAAAGCACTGCTAAATGGACAAAACGCATACTGCATTGGTGTGAAACAGGCCTGAAATGCATTGAAAATGCATAAAAAAAACACACACGTGTTGCGTATTTAATCTGTCCAGCAACAAGTTGGCCGAAAAAAATAATTCAAAAATACAAAACACATAAAAAAAGCTACAGAAGGGAGTGCGCCAAAATGCAAAATACACCGCAATAAGCACTGAAAAACAGACAAAATGCAAACTGCACTGGTGTGAACCACGCCTGAAATGCATTGCAAAATGCATCAAAAATACATGTGTTGCGTTTCTGATACGTTTTGCGCTTTTTATTTGCTCAGCAACAAGTTGGCCAAAAAAAAAAAAAATCATACAAAAATGCATATAAAAATGCATCAAAAATGTACGTGCAAAAACACAAAACGCACTGCAAAACAGACAAAGTGCAAATTGCATTGGTGTGAACCAGGCCTGAAATGCATTGAAAACCCATCAAAAAACACACACGTATTGCATTTTGATACATTGTTTGAGTCACATGACCTATGAAAAATGTGCCCGAAATGTGGTATAATAGCGGCAAAATTGTGTGTAAAATCATGCGTAAAATCGTGGCAAAAATCACCCGTTTTCGGCGGCCATTATCGGCACCTTTTTTCCTATCGGCAAAATGCTGATACATTTGGGCTGCCGGTATATCGGTGCATCCCCAATTAGGACTGTTTGTACGTGTTTGTATGTGGGTATAAACAGGTTAAAAGAAAGAAGACCGTGCTTTTAATCTAAATATTAATAATGTAGTGAATTAAATCATAATCTTTTGATTCATGGTCAAATCACACAAATGTATGCAGAATTATTATAGCAACATAAAAATGGAGGGGCTTGGCAAAACTGCAAAAAGGGTAGTTAAAGTCATTGTAAAGGCATTCTATGCAGTACGGTAAAAAACCATCTGCATGCAGCTAACCCCGCAGCCCCCCTAAATACATACCTGAGCCCAATTTTGATCCAGTGATGTACACGAGAGCCAAGCCTCTCTCGGCTCTCTCACTATTGATTGGCTCAGATACGGCAGTGGAAGCCATTGGCTCCTGCTGCTGTTAATCAGAGCCAGTGACAAGGGAGCAGGGGGTGGGGCTCAGCCACACCTGATAGACACACAGAGCAGGGCTCAGGAGCAAACACGCGCAAGTGCCCCCATAGCAAGCAGCTTGCTCTGGGGGAAATCGGTGGTGGGAATGAGCCAGAGGGACTCGAGAAGAGGAGGATTGGGGCTGCTCTGTGCAAAACCATTGCATAGAGCAGGTACACGTTTGTAATTTATAAAAAAAAAAAACCAAACCTTTACAATCACTTTAAATATCAAATGAAATTTCCCAAAACATAAAATCAATAGTGTAGCACTAAATCCTGCTCCTCAAAAAATTATATTCACAACCAAAGATATGAAAATTCATACAATTAATACAAATCAATATACCATCAGGGCTGTGGATAAGGGGGTGTCACCAGTCCTCCTGTATGGGGCCCAGGCCAGCAGGGGGGCCCTGGGTGAATCAGATGTGGGCAGGGAGGGTGATCAGCATGGCGAGGGGGAAATTACAGGAACAGATCCCCTGTATGGTTATCTGCAGCAGCTAAAAGCACTCTTCTCCTCTCTCTCCCGCTGGCTTTCAGCTGCTGCAGAGAGAGAGCCATACAGGGGATCGGTTCCAGTAATTGCCCCCCTGAGCACCCATCACCCTCCCTATGCACCATATGTTTCCCCCTGCTGCCCAGGCCCCCCTGTGTGCCCCAAAACCCTGAAGTGCTGCCAGCTTTCTTCCTGTCCTCTCCACCGGCAGCTGCAAGCACACAATAGCATCCTTCAAGTTGGAGAATGGGGGGAAGGGTCAAGTAAATTTGTCACATTTACCAGCCTCTTCCTTTCTTGAATGAACATAATGA